AAAAAAAGGGATTGAAAAGAAAAATAACAAAAGTGGAACGTCTGTGAATGCAAGTGGATTCCAAAATAGGACCAGAAACGGGGATAAAGGGACGAATATCTAATAAGGTTTTTATGTGGTTTTTTTTAGTTATCAAGTATTTACAATATCAAAAAAACTTCCTTTTTGTTATAAAATTATTCTAACGAAAAAGAAAATAGGAATCTGATGGGCGGAATAAACTGAGAGTGAGTAATATTAATCCATATCTGAGGAGACAAAACAAACGTTAGGATCACGAGAACGTTGACCCACCCGAAAGTGCAGTGCTAGTCAGAACAGTTGGAAAAGTCGCCAGCCGCACGGCTGGACAACCAAGCCATGAATTAAAGTACTGAGTGACAAAACTGGTGCCGAATACTGCCAGCCTTGCAGAAACTTCATACTAATAATTCAGCCTGATCAAATCAGCATCAGAATCATCAACAGAAACTGTGAACTGGACTAGCCCAAGTGTCTAAGTAAGCTCCTCACAAATACCGTCACGATTTGCTCAAACCACCTGCCATCCAATACCATGCCAAACTGGTACCACCATAAATACCAGTGCTAAAAACACAAAATGCACTTCACTTGCTTTTAAGCAATTCTCGGGGGAGATATCACTGACGAGCCAGCTGCGAACTGTTGGTGCTTGCAAACGCAGCACTTTCAGATCACTTTTCTAGAACTTTTAAGCAAATGAGTTGCAGAAGGAGTGCCAAGTCTCAACCTGGAGAATTAGAAAACGAGAAAAAGTTTCCTCATAAAAACTAATACCAAGAAGCTCGAGCTATCACTGTGGGTATTCTCTGTTGGTGATGTCACCAGGTTGTTCTCATACGTCGAGCACAGCTACGTCACGCCGCAGAAAAAACTAATAACAGCGAAAAACAGTTTATTTTTATACTTACATTTTCGATAGGTAGCAGCTTTAATATCTTGAATTTCTTGGCGTCCAGCTTTGCAATGAACTGATCAGTTACGAGTAGCACACGGAAAGCTGATTTGTTAAATTTATTAAATTTCTGAAAATTTTGCTCTCTGATGATGCTTTTTTGCGGCGTATTTGAATGATGAAGCACAGACTGCTTGTTCATAAAGCTACCTTAACTTGTGTCAAAAACCTCGGTTATCTCTAATTTCCTAACAATTCCTATCCATATAAATTAGTTCACTTTACAACACCAGAAGTAATGAATACCAAGAAACACTAAGAGTGTCGTGGAATCAGTGTGGGCATTCTAGGTTAATGGTGCTACGGGAATGCTTTCACATGCAGGTGCGACTACGGCAGGACCATCAGTCCTAAGCAGCATACTTCCAGCTCCCAACATCTGTTCAATGTATGTACGCCCTCTTCAAAGTCCTCCGGAATGGTCGTTTACTTTCGGCGAGTACCACTCGCTAACTGGGCGTATGCCAATTAAAAATTAGTGTAGATCATTAATATAAATAAAACTTGAGGTTATTTATGAAAACCTCAATCAGTAAGATAGTCTGTTCTGGTCTAGCACTAATAGCGTTCGGGACGAAATGGTGATACTTAGCAGGTCAAAGAAGTTTCAAGACGGCAAAAGCCTAGCTAGGTGTTTTCATTGAAAGAACTAAGCTATTTTTTTTCCAGAAACAAAAGGAGAGTCAGGATTGTCAGCAAATGATGCACTGAAAAAGATGACTGAAAAAGTTAGCAGCTGAGTAGCTGAAGACCCATACTAAGAGAATGGCGGTTTGAGGAACACTAAATTGTGACGCGACTAACACCGACACGCTTTGGCACAAAATACAAGCACGCCATTTTACTAGGTAACAATCCTTTTTCACTATTCCCTTCCTGAGGTAATGTAACACTGGCATGGTTATTACATCACCTAAAAACACCGCGGGGTTGATGAAGAAACGAGTGAAGAGCCACAAAAAAACTGACCTGCACATAGGATGAGAAGAGGACTTCGGAATATTGGTGAGAGTGCTTAATAGTATCCAAAGCAGTATTGTAATCTTGCATCTGATTCATTGGTTCGAGTTCATCCGCCTGCATTACAACCAGAACAATTAAACTGCTTAGAAGGTGCCGCAAAAACTAGCCATTACTAAAAGAAATATATTTATTTACATAAACGTATCATGGTCATCCAGCTAACAGCTTGGTACCCCACATTAGTGGTAATGCTGGAATGCTCCCATATGCCAGGCACAGTTTTGTCGAGCTCTTCGATCCAGGGCTCATATATTTGTTTATATAAACGTATATTCCATACAGTACTCACCGTCCGCTCGATGTATATGCACCGCACCCTCGGAGGCCTCCCAGTGATTGTTTACTTTGTCGAAAGTACAACTTACTGATGCGCGACATACCTTGCTTATTAGCAAGGCGAGTAAATGTCCTGACCATAGGATTTTGCTTGCTCGTATGGTTGCAGTGATATATTCACTATCGAGAAGAGCGACTATTGTTTATATTAGTCTCAAAAGGATACACTGAGCATCCTTCTCTCCGCTGTCCTTTCCATTACATCAGTGACCGCATTTCGCGTCCGTGCTTCATTGCCTCCACCACATTGGTACTAATCAGGTAGGTACGGTCGTTCCGGTTTGACATTTTGACGGCATCTTCGGAGGCATATAAATTTACCCCTTTCTATCTGCACTTATATGTGTGTTTCTCTAGAGAAGTAAAAAAAAAAATATTTGTGCTAACCGTGTTTAGGTAGTTGCCTCTCCAGGAACGTGTGTAGCCCCATTCCGGGCGTTTCCCCTCAAGCGCTTCAAAAGCTGACACTTTTTCCGATAGTGACTCTTTGAGGTGCTGCGGCAAACTGCTGATGATTCTGTTTGCTCGCCAAAGAGCGTGCATTTTCATTAGCCTGTCGGCAAACTTTTCTAGCCCCAGTGGCGCCACAGGCCACTGTACAGATGCTCCCAAATCTCTCATTTTTTCAACATCCCTAAATCGAAGTTTTTTGCATAGGACATGAAGCTCATTAAACATTTCACTGATGCGAAAATTTTATAGCGTTGTGTTTAATTAGTTCGGAATTACAGAAAAACGTAGGCTGGAACGCACCAGGCGAGCCGGAGCGATCATGCATTTTTGCACAAAACTTGAAT